ATCACACAGAAGACCTGTGTTTGATTCTCTTGTTGGAAAAGAAGTTTTATTGAACATCTCAGTCTTTCTGCTGGGATATGTATACTCCCCAGCCCGGGTTAGCATTAACAAGCAGGGTAGAAGTCTGCTTCCTAAATCACCTATATGGTGTTGATCGGGGCTTAAAATGCCTACATTATAAAAAAAAAAGAATATACTACAGATTTTACTGACTTAGAAAACAGCAGTGTGGGTCTGCAGACTTTGAATTTACAAATTTCATTAAACTTGAAACAGATTTAGCTCCAAGAATTGATTTTACACGGAGCCTTTCAGCTGCTGGCGTTCTCGTTACCTGGACTTTAGAGCTGGGCAATGAGTCGCTTTAGCGAAATCCGGATAATATGTTAGTGCACCTCTTCGGCAAATAATATGATATGAACCGCTTCGGCAAATGGGTTAGAACAACTTCGACAAACGGGTTAGCATCACGTCAACAAATTAATGGGTGCACCCACTTTGGCAAGCGGGTTAGGAAAGGGAGTAAACAGTCTGAATTCGGACAATATTTCATTGATAGTTATCCGGTTATCCGGTTAGGTTATCCGGATTCTGCCCACCTTTACTGGACTTGACAAATGCACTCACGAGGCCTCTCTCCTCTATCTTGCCCTCTACGGCACGCTGGGCGCCTTTCCTCTCTCGGAGAGGATTTGTTGCTCCCGTCTATCTTGGGAATAGGTGTGTGAAAAATAAGCACCAAATAAAACTCAAAGTTGTTTCTCACTACCCACTTTTGTCACAACCAGGATTCGATGAGGGGATTTTTTGCCTGGTGAGAAGTGCTTATTACTTTGTCTTTGGACCAATTACACCCAACAACCCCACCCTTACCCCCGCCCTGTTTGCTCCCTCATTCAATTTATTTGTCCAAAATCGAAAGTCATCGTGGTGCCATAATTACAAATATGACTTATTTTAGTAATATTTTACAGCTTGCAACACAATAAGTAATAAGGACATAAAAACTACAAGTATAATATTATGAGTGTCGACATCTCGTTAAGGTGAGAAGTCAGCTTAAAACTGAAATACAAGTACGACGGAAAAGTTAAGCCCTTCAACTTAACCACAATTAAATCTGGCATAACACTCACCCCACCCCCTTCCCCTACAAGTAACATTGTCCCCTTGGGAGCAGCAGCTGTCACTGTGATGCACGAACTTCGAACGTGAAAAGCTATTATAGAAAAGTGGACATTTGAGGCAGAGGAGATAATCTTATCGCAACTTGACTTTATTTTCAGTACTGATGTACTTGGGACATTTCAGACTGAGAAAATAATCTTATCGCAACTCTATTGTATTTCTGAGTACTGTATACATGTCCTTGGGAACGGGTACGAACGGAAATCGGTCATTTCGTCACATGGTCATTTCGTCACACCCCAACTAGTGTGTGTGACGAAATGACTTCACCTCTGATCTCTCCAAAATTGTTATGCTTGTAGAATTTTGGAGGATCTGCGCCAGCGGTCTTTACTCTAAATCACCAGTTCAAGCACGTGATCGTTGCGCCGAGCCCTCTTGTTTAAAAAAAAAGTAATTTAAGCCTTAAAC